AACGGGTCTGGATGCTGTTCAGCCAAATGGCTATTTCAATATTAGTTTAAATACTAGAACTTGTGGCCATAAGTGGAAATTAGTGGGAGAACATTTTAAAATGAATTTGAGGAAACACTTCTTTACACAGTGTGTAGTTATGAAATAGTCTTCTTGCTAGTGTAGCGCAAGCTAAAACCCTGAATTCCTTTAAATCAGAGCTAGATAAGATTTTAACAACTCTGAGGTATTAGTTATGTTCTCCCCAAATGAGCTTCATGGGCCGAATGACCTCCTCTCGTTTGTGAATTTCTTATGTTCTTAATCTGTGAATTATGCTCATGTGAGATTTACTTACACAAAAATGTTCTGAAGGCAGGACGAAAAATAATTGCTTATTTTTATCTTATATAAGATAACCAATCCGGGTCCAAGCAACTATCGAAGCAAGACATCTGATTGGTTGGTCCTCCACTAGTTGCTTGCACCCACCTCCTCTGTAATCTGATTGGTTATCTCTCTGAACCAATCATTTTTTCTTTCTGCCCTCAAATCATTTTAATGTAAGTAAAACTCCCATGACCGTGGATTGTCATCAGATTGGTTCCACTAATTCGTTTGGGTTCCACAAATGAAATGAGGAATATGAAGCATTTTGAATCTTCCACCTTGTGTATGTGTAGAGTAACATTCGGGCTCCTCAGCGTTAGCGTTCCAAGTGGGTTGGCTGTCAGCCAGCGAGCCACAGATTTCTATAACAGAGGCTGTTTCATAATGGACTCGATTCTCCCCCATGTGGGCTGCTGCACGGCGTCTCTGAGGGGTCCTCAGGTGGAGAAGGCAGGGTGTCCCTGCGGTGCCTGCGCCTGACACTTAGCTGTTCCTCCTTTGTAGCGATGGGAAAATCCCCTCCCCTGCGATGGGGTCTCTCTAGGCCCCGTCAAAGTCTTCCTCAAAAGGACGGCACTGCTTGGAGCCGCTGCCAGAGACGTCTGTTAGCTCTTGCTAGGACTTTCACCTTCTAAAAATAAAGAATCACATTTAAAAAAAGGCGTTTACGTGCTTACAGGTTTACAAAAACCCACATGAAGCGCAATATCATAAATGCATTCATGGCCAAATACACCACAAAGTAAAATCTTAAAACGGTAAAAAGGGTCATTTTAATTGTGAATAAACCAGAAATCATCAGTACAAAGAAATTATAAAACTAACATTGCAAGCTTTCATCTTTGCAAGCTTCATGAATAAAAATATGATTATCACCCACAACATACTTTTTACTGAGATAAAACAGGCTGATGAGGCCGTAAGGAGGAATGTTCTCGTCTTCTTATGACTGTCAATAGACGTATTGAGTCAGAAAGACTTAACAAAGCAAACACTCCGTTGTCTGTGTTTGCCTGCAATAAACAGATACACCAGCTTTGGAGGAAACACTCTCTAGCTGTGATGCAGCCCTGCACTGGCAGCCAAGAGACCCAGTCTGGGATTTTTCTGGTAATAACTGACACATCAACACGCCCTTCGTCCCTGTAGAGTCAGACTCTTGACTGACCCTTCCTGTATATTGGCAGCAGAGGTGGAAGGTTCAGGTCCAGAAAGTACAGATCCAGACCAAGATTTCGTCTCAACCAACCGATTGCGTATAGAGAGTCATAGTCATAGAGTCACTCAACTGGTTGGTTGGAACTAAATCTGAAATTTCCACCTCCAGTTGGTAGCTTAATCACATCTGCGGGCCCTTGGGCGAGACCCTTAACCCTAATCACATCTGCGGGCCCTTGGGCGAGGCCCCTAAGCACATCTGCGGGCCCTTGGGTGAGGCCCCTAACCCTAATCACATCTGCGGGCCCTTGGGCGAGGCCCCTAAGCACATCTGCGGGCCCTTGGGCGAGGCCCCTAACCCTAATCACATCTGCGGGCCCTTGGGCGAGGCCCCTAACCCTAATCACATCTGCGGGCCCTTGGGT